GGCGACACGGTGGCACAGTGGTTAGCACTGCTGCCTCACAGCGCCAGGGACCTGGGTTCGATTCCAGCCTCGGGTGACTGTCTGTGTGGAGTTTGCACATTCTCCTCGTGTCTGTGTGGGTTTCCTCCGGGTGCTCCGGTTTCCTCCCACAGTCCAAAGATGTGCAGGTTAGGCGGATTGGCCATGCTAAATTGCCCGTAGTGTTCAGGGAGGTAGAGGGTGTATATTAGGTGGGTCATGGGGGATGGATCTGGGTGGGATGCTCTGCGGTTCGGTGTGGACTTGTTGGGCCGAAGGGCCTGTTTCCACACTGTAGAGATTCTAATTCTAAAAAAATACTCCTGGAAACCAGGAACAAAAACAAAAGTTGCTGGAAAAGCTCAGCAGGTCTGGCAGCATCTGTGAAGAAAAAAATCAGTTAATGTTTCGGGTTTTACTCCTGAAAACCAGTCAGTTTATGTGTTAAGGGCTTGTTGTCCCTTTAATATCCTACATTTCCTATGTACTGCAATTTCCTGTGCTGTATTTAACCAAGCTTCTGTTTACCTGCCTGTCTTGTGTTACCATGGAGCTGCATCTTTGGGACCAGTGAGAAGCTGATTCACTCGGCAGGCTTGGAAAAGTGCAGCTTTGCATCTTAAACCCAGACAGTTTCTTCCCATCTTGTATGCAGGAGTTGCCCTTCGTATGCGAGTGTTGGCCAGCTATTCAATGGGCTCACAGCTTTTTCATTTGGACCAGTGTGTTCAATAGAGAATTCAGCTGCCCACACCCAGATTTTCAGTGCTTTCAGACTCCTGGAATCACAGCAACACAGAAAGTGGCCCCATGGCCTATCAAAACCATGCTGCCACTCCGTGGACCAATCCAGTCAGTCTCATTCTCTCTGTGTATTCGTGTCCTTGGGCAGTGAGCTCCACAGCATTACCATTCACTGTAATGCAGGCTCCACAAATATTCCCATCCTCAATGATGGGAATGCCCAGCACATCAGTGCAAAAGATAACTCTGAAGCTTTTGCAATAATCTTCACCCAGAGTGGATGATGTGTCTCAGTCTCATCCAGTCGTCCCTAGCATTACAGACATTAGGAAGAGCAGAGATGTAGCCTTTCACCATTTAGAAAATTGTCTTTGGAAATCTGAAGCACAAAGGGACTGAGGAGTCCTAGTTCAGGATTCTCTTAAGGTTAACATGCAGGTTCAGTTGGCATTTAGGAAGTGTTTGTTATATGAGAAGCGGTTGAGGACTCTGGATTTATACTTAATGGAGTTTACAAAGATGAGGGAGGCATGTAATTTGAAACTTACAGGACCTGAGGGCACAGCCTAAGAGTTAAAGGATGACCCTCAGAATTGCAATGAGGAATTTTTGAGCCAGAGGGTGGTGAATCTGTGGAACTTATTGCCACAGAAGGCTCTGGAGGCCAAGTCATTGAATGTATTTAAGACAGAGATAGGTTTTTAATTAGTCAGGGATCAAGGGCTACAGGGAGAAGGCAGGAGAGTAAGGTTGAGAAACATATCAGCCATGATTGAATGGTGGAGCAGACTTGATAGGCCTAATTCTGCTCCTATATCTTAAGATCTGCAGGAGTTCCTCAGGGTGGTGTCCCTGATCCAACCATCATTTAATCAATGACCTTCCCCCCCATCATATGGTCAGAAGTGGGGATGTTCTGCAATGACTGCATAATGTTCAGCACCATTTCCAACTCAGATATCGAAGCAGTCCATGTCCACATGCAGCAAGACCTGAACAATATCCAGGTCTGAGCTGAAATGTAGCAAGTAATATTCACACCGTGCAAATGCCAGGCATAGATCATCACCTATAAAAGACAATCTTACCACCATTCCGTGACATTCAATGGTATCACCATCACTGAATTCTCCAACTATCAACACCCTCGAGGTTACAAAAGAGAAGTATGACACAGGAACAGGCCCTACAGCTCTTCAAGCCTGTGCCAATGAGCACGCCCTAACTAAACTCAAAAAAACAAGCCACCTGCCCTTATTCGGTCCGTATTCCTCTATTCCCTCCCTACTCACGTACCCATGCCTCTTAGATGTTGCCAATGTGCCTGCTTCCACCACCACCACCTCTGGCAATGCACTCCAGGCTCCTACCACGCTCTGTGTGAAAACCTTCCCTCGCACATCTCCCTTAAACTTTTGCCCTCTCACCTTGAACCTGTGTCCCCTTGTAATTGAAACTCAACTCTGGGGAAAAAAGCCTCTGACTATCCACCTGTCTATGCCTGTCATAATTTTGTAGACCTCCATTAGCTTTGACAAGAAACTGAACTGAAAAGCCATATAAATAGTGTCAGGCAAGCAGGTCAGACGTTAGAAATGCTGCAGCGAGTAAAATCACCTTGACTCCCCAAAGCCTATTCACCATATAAAGGGCAGAAGTTAGGAGCATGATGGAATTCTCCCCACTTGCTTGGATGAGTGCAACTCAATAAGCTTGACACCATCCAGAACAAAGCAGCCTCCTTGATTGGCACCACATCCACAAACATCCATGCCCTCCACCACCAGCATTCAGTAGCAGCAATGCGACAATTTACAAGATGCACTGCACCAATTCACCAAAAATCCTTAGACAGCACCTTCTAAATAGACAACTGCTTCCATCTAGAAGGACAAGGATAACGGATACACAGGAACACCTCTCCAAGTTCTCCACAAAGCCACTCACCATCCTGACTTGGAAATGTATTGTCGATCTGGGTCAAATTCTTGAACTTCCTCTCTAATGGCATTATGGGTCTGTCAATGGCAGAAGGACTGTAGGAGTTCCAAGAAGACAGCTCATTACCATCTTCTCAAGTATAACTAGGTATGCGTAATAAATGCTGACCCAAATAGCCATGTCCACATCCAATGCTCCACCAGTGAATTCAGAAAAAAAATCCCCCACATGCTCAATACGTGTCACCTTTCAGATGAGACATTAAACCAAGACTGTCACTTTTTCGCAGACCTGGTGATATTTGAAGAATAAGGAAGGTATCAGAAATTCTCGCAAATATTTATTTCTCAACCGACGTAACTTAAAAAAAAAAGTGCTTGAGTGATCATTGTCATGTAGGATTTTTGCAGTGTGCTATTAGGCTGTAACATTTTCCTGTATCATGAAATTATCTCCACTCAAAAATACGTATTGCCTGTGGAGTGTTTTGGCGCATTCCATAGATGAGAACGATTGCTATGTACTTCTTTCTTCAACTATCTTTCTTGTATTGTGAATAAATTACCAGAAAAAATAGTAAAGCAGACAAGATAGAGAGAGGAGGGGTGGGGCTGGGGAAGGTAGATGGGGTGGTGATTGGTGATTGCAGGTAGAGAGTGGTGGGATTGGTCAGTGGGATGGGTAGGGCGGATAGGTGGGAGAGAGGATGGACAGATTGTGTCAGGTCAAGGAGACGGTGATGAGAGGGAGGGTTGGACGTGGGATGAGGCTGGGGGTGGGGAGATTTTAAAGCTGGTGAATTCTATGTTTAGGCCGTAGGGCTGGAGGCTCCCAAGGTGGAATATGAGGTGTTGCTCCTCCAGTTTTCGGGTGGTGTCATCGTGACACTGGAGGAGGCCCAGGATGGATACGGCACCCAGGGAGTGAGAGGGGGTGTTAAAATGGTTGACGACTAGAAGATGTTGTCGTTTGTCATGTACAGAGCGCAGATGCTCTCCGAAGCAGTCTCCAAATCTATGCTTGGTTTCACCAATGTAGAGGAGGCCACATCGGGAGCAGTGGATACAGTAGACCAAGTTAATGGATGTGCAGTTGAACCTCTGTCTGATATGAAAGGTTTGTTTAAGGCCTTGAATGGAGGTGAGGGGGAGGTGTAGGGGTAGGTTTAGCACTTCCTGCGGTTACAGGGAAAGGTGCCGAGTGCGGTGGGGTTAGTGGGCAGTGTGGAGATGACCAGGGAGTCATGGAGAGAGCGGTCCCTACAAGAAGCAGATAGGGGTCAGGAGGGAAATATCTCTTTGGTGGTGGGGTCAGATTGTAGGTGGCAGAAGTGGCAGAGAATGATACACTAGATGAGGAGGTTGGTGGGGTGATATGTGAGGACAAGGGGGATTCTGTCTTTGTTTTTGATGGGAGGAGGGATGTGAGGGCAGAAGTGCGGGAAATGCAAGAGATGCAGTTGAGGGCATTTTCGATCACTGGAGGGGGAAAAAATACGATCCTTGAAATAGGATGACATCTGGGATGTTTGGGAGTATATCTGCTCCTCTGATGCTGCCTGGCCTGCTGTGTTCCTCCAGCTCCACAGTGTTATCTCTGACTCCAGCATCTGCAGTTCTTGCTGTCTCTGAAAGCAGTTGATAATTATTTAAAAATTATTTTTTGACGGATTGTGGGTCAACATTTATTGCCCCTCCCAAACTGAACGCTTGTTTGACCATTTCAGAAGTCAGTTAATACTAAACCATGTCGCAGCTGATCTAGTGTCATATGTAGGCCAGGTATAGATACCAGGTATGTTTCACTAAAGGGATGTTAGTGAAGCATGTGGGTTTTAAATGATAATTTATAGTTTCATTTCATTGTCACCTTCATTTCCAGGTCCAGATGCCATGTGGGATTTGAATGTATGTCCCAAGACCTGGGCCTCTAGCTTGTTAATCCAGTGATATTACCACTACACCATAACCTAATTCCTCAGGTTTGATACGTTTGAAATGTTTCTGGGGGTAGAAAAGATTGAGGATTTATTTTGGTTCTTTCAAAAATGGATGGATTTTTATGTCCTAATAGCCTTTTCCTGTTCTGTATGGTTTTTGCGTTCTGGAAACTTTACTTTCTTCATTTATTTAAGTTTATTTAATTAACTAAATTGTTATTCCTAGCCATCATGGTGGGTTTGACCTTGCACCTCAAAGTCATTACCCCAGACCTCTGCATTACAAGTCCAGTGAAATTGTCACGATGCACTTTGCACGATTTTGGAAAAACTGATTTCCCTCTTTTGCGTTGTACAGCTGGAGACCTGACGGGGGCTGTGTTTAACCCAGTGCTGGCTTACTCTATCACTTTCAACTGCGAAGGAAGTACATATCCTGAATACTGTTTCGTATACTGGCTTGGACCCTTGATGGGTAAGGAGACACGAATCAAAGAATGGTGACAGCGCAGGAGGAGGCCACTCAGCTTTTTTATCATACTGGCTCTGCAACAGCATTCATCCAGTACCACCCCTTTGCTTTTTCCTTGTAGGGCTTCAGACATTTTCTCTCAAGTTAATTATCCAATTTCCTTCTGGAATTCTCAGTTTCCCTCCACCACACTCTAGGGCAGTATATTCCAGATCCTTAACCACTTGCTGCATGAAAAACTTTGTCCCCATGCCCCCATTGCTTCTTTTGCCATACACCTTAAATCTGTGTCCTCTGGTTCTTGTTATCTCTGCCAATGGGAATGGTTTCTCCCTATTTACTTGTTCTGGCCCCTTTGTTTGCACACTGCTGTCAAATCTCCTCTCAACCTTCTCTTTTCCCAGGAAAATTCCAATACCAATCCTTCCAATCTATTCATATGAATGCAATCCCTTGGTCCTGGAGCCATTCGCCTAAATCACTTCTATGCCTCTCTTGCTCAATCTCTCTCTCTTCACCCCCACCCTCACCCCCCCACCCTCACTCTCATTCAATGCTTTCACATGTTGCCCATATTCCATTTGAGGCCAAACTGTGACTTACACAGGTTTACCATAACTGCCTTGCTTCTGTGCTCTATACCACAAATGATCAAGCCTGGGATTCCTAATGCTTTATGAACTCTTGTTCACAAGAGTTGTCCTTGTACCTTCAATGATTTGTGCATTTATAACCCCAGGGCTCATTGCTCTGCACCTCTTTTAGAGTCATGCTCTTTGTTTTAGCTTGTATCTCCTTGTATCACTTCATACATCTGCCCATTTATCTGCATATCAACATCCTGTTGAGGTTTAGCCCTAACCCTGTCACACGTGCATGGGGAACGGAAATGTTGTGTTTTTTATTGGTTGTTTTTTGGGCTGGGCTGTGTGGTTTTTGTTTGATTGTTGGATATCTTTGAAATGCATGATGGAAATGTGAACCAGAGATATTAAGAACTGCCGATGCTGGAGTCAGAATTAACACAGTGTGGAGCTGGAGGAACACAGCAGGCTAGGCAGCATCAGAGGAGCAGGAAAGTTGACTTTTTGGGTTGGGACTGAAGAAGGGTCCCAGCCTGCTGTGTTCCTTCAGCTCCACACTGTTATCTGTGGAAATGTGAACCCATTTCTTGTATTTTTCACTCCTGTGCTTAAGGATACAGTAATGATATTATTGAGCTGATAAACGTGTGTTCATCAACAGCACAGAAATATTCTGTTCAAGCTATGGTTTTTATCTCCAACCAGTTTAGGTTTGACAGAAGGAAATTGGACTTGAGAACAGTTGTTAAATGCTGAAATGACATATGTTTAACATAGAAACAAAGCACTCCAAGGAAACTGTTTTAAAATAAAAAGCTTTGCAAGATGTGGGTGCAGATGAACGTGGTTGGTTTTTATTGACCATCTTTTCTTACCCTGGGAATGGAGATCCCTTAATCAATCAACCCTTAATTGTCTGTGTACACATGATAAATTGGCAACCCACCCACCTGCCATATGATGGGAAGAGCTCAAGGGGTGTTTTGTAATACAGACATCTATCCATCCATGTGGCAGACTGCCATCTCTCCTCTGAGGCACTTGTCATTTAATCAGCTTCCTTTCAGTCATTCCTGCGGTGATCAATATTTAAAAGTCATTTTCAACTTGCCAATAGGCGGAGGTCTAGTCGTACAGTGGTAGTGTCCCTATCTGTGAGCCAGGACACCCAGTTCAAGTCACACTGTTCCAGAGTGTGTACTAACCCCAATAGCCTGCTCACTGTTGCTTCATTCAGGCCCAGCCAGAATCACTACACTCTTACAAATTTGAAACAGCCTCCATACCTACATTTCAAGCAGCACTTGAGTGGTTGCAAGTTCAGAATAGAAAAAAAATTGTGATTTTAAGGCTAGCTCACATGGGAACAAATGCAACAGACTTTAGTGATGGCATTATTGTTAAACCAAATAAATACCATTTATTTCAGTTTAACTATCGCACCTCAGTGGTAAAGCATGCCATGCCAAGTCAATGTGAACGTGCTATAAAACATGGTTTAAAAGAAAGCCTTTACATTTGGTTGTTTATCAGGCATAGTGCACATTTCTAACCCAAGATGTGTTCCCAGTTGTAGGCAAGTGGTTTAGTTTTTATTTCAGCTAAAAAATTCATCCCTGGCTAGAGATGATAATGAGTGATGAACCCAAACCATCTAATACAAAACCGAAAACATACGACTTCCTCGTAAATGATAAAATACAGCTGTGAAAGATAAGATCTGGCTTGTACCAAAGTACGTTGATAAGTAAAAAGGGGAATGTGGCACAATACCACGTAACAATGCACTAGTAAATTTGAGGACAACTTCCCTCAAACAGCATGCTTCGTACAAAGTTGACAAACTAAAGGGTGCTTTGAAAGCTGAACAGTCAGCACTATAAGATAGGACCTGCACTGAAGCATCATTTTACGTTTGCCACCTTTAGATTTTTTTAGATTTAGATTTGATTTTATTGTCACGTGTACTCAAGTACGGGGTACAGGAGTACAGTGAAAAGTGTATAATGTCACCACACTGCGCCATCTTAAGAATAAAGTACCTAGGTACAAAATCTTAGTTACAGAAATAGAAAAGTAAAGAAATAAGTTTAAAAAGTTCAGCACTATAAAATCTCTGGCATAACAAAATAAATCATTCACAGATGGCAAAGTGCTAAAGAAGCAACGACTGTGACCGCTGATTCTTTATTCAACGATTTTTAAGAACAAATAAATAATAACAGCAATCCAGAACATGCCCCTTGGTGTTTCCATAGTAGCAAGACGAGCAGAATCTCGGTCCAAAGATGACAATTCTGACTTCAAGGGAATGGCAGATAATGTGCAGCCACAGGTGTCACACTGACTTAGAGGTGACTAGAAGACAAAATATGTAATTATATATCCTTGACTTAAGGTTTATATGTCATTAAAAATAGACAGACTGTTTATTTTAGATTTTCATTGAAGTAAGTCCTGAGACTTAAATTTAGAAAGTGATCTTGTGCTTTGAAAATGTTGGAGATCACTGATTAGGGACTGAATCTTCATAGGTTAACAGTAAGATTATAGCACTGAAGGAAGTAATTTCATCCATTGTATCTGTACCAGACATAAAAGCTATCCAGTTTAATCCCAGTTTCCAATTTTGTCTGTAACCATGTGGGTGATTGCCCTTCAAGTGCATACCAAATATTTTGCAGTGGTATTGAGGCTTTCTGCCTCCCCACTCTATCAGGCAGTGAGTTCTTGACACCAGCAGCTTGTGTTGGGAGGGGGATGGCAAATACTCCACTCACCTGCAATCCTACCAATTACTGTAAATCTGTGCCCCCCAAATTCTTGATCTTTTTTGGTGAAAGAAAATGGGACTGACCTTTCCACAGTATCTGCATTCCTTGTAATGTTATATACTTAATTAAATCTCAGATAAGCCACTTCTCCAAAGAAAGCAACCCCAGTCTATATGAAATAAAACAAAGAACAAACAAAAAAGTCACTGGACTCAACATTAACTCGACTTTCTCTCCACAGATGATGCCAGACCTGCTGAGTTCCATCAGCAATTTCTGGTTTTGTCCCAGTTTTTTCTCAGCTAAAATTCTGAATTCCTGGCAACATCAATCTCCTGAGTACCCTCTCTCATGCAATCATATTGTTCCCATAATGTGGTGACCGGAACTGTACACAGTGCTTTGGCTGTGGCCTTACTAATGTTTATACATTAGTGTTCGAATGTGAGTTCCCTACTTACGCTGCACCTAATAAATGACTGTATCACGTATGCTGCCTTAACCAATTTATCCCTCTGCCCTGCTACCTTTAGCAATCTTTGGGCATGCAAGTTGTGTGGTCTTGTCTCATTGGCTACTATTTTGTCCCTTCCCTATTCCTCCAGGTGCAATGACTGCTGTCTTGTTGTTTGAGAGGGAATCTGTAGATGGTGCTGATGCGAGATCAGCAACAGAGGAGGCTAAGGAGAAGAGATCCTGAAGCAGCATCCTTGCTACACTGGAAGCGTACAACTGAACCGTGGACCATATCACCCTCCCGAGATCTCGAAGGGAAAGGAAGTTAAATGATTTTTTTTCTAGTTTCAAACCACAAGGAACTATAACAAGCATTGTTAATCAATTTAGTGTCATCTCAATTTTGGGAGTGAGCATTTCAGCCAGGACTCCTTTTTTGGAAAAAAAAACAATAATTTTAAAAGAAGCTAAGGACAAGTTTTAGAGATAACAAGGTGTAGAGCTGGATGAAGGGTCTAGGCCCAAAAAGTCAGCCTTCCTGCTCCTCTGATGCTGCTTGGCCTGCTGTGTTCATCCAGCTCTACACCTTGTTATCTCAGATTCTCCAGCATCTGCAGTTCCTACTATCAAGGACAAGTTTTAAACACTTTTTATTGATTGGCTGAGTGCCTCCCTGTAAGGCCTGATGCTGGAATTGACATGAATCACACTAATAGCAGCAGGTGAAGAATTTATATCTTAATGTTAGAAGTGAAGCCATTGCTTTTATTCAGGCATCAGTATTTCACAAATGGGCACAACTCAAACAGCACCCATTATTCCTGAAGAAAAACAATTGCATCAATTTAATGAAGTGCTTAGAATGAGTAAGAAAACAAGCAACTGATTTGCCGCAGATTGTATGGATGGCAACCCCAATAACTCAGTGTTAGGAACTGATTGGGTATGCTAGTGGAGAAGGTCGTCTTGGATTTTAATGTAGTGATAGCGAATGAATGGTGATAGAATTCCAAGTGAGGAAGTTGGTGACCTGGAGTTGGGGGAGGGGGGAGGGTGATGGTAGTGGAATCCCACTTCATGTGGTGGTGTTCCAAGTTTATTTGGGGGGTGTACCATCTTAGGGGAGAACTTTGGAGCTATGTTGACAGATGTTTAAGAGTAGATCATTTCATATGTCTTGAGGCCACTCTGTGTCCTATGGGGGCAGGGATCAAAATAAAGGAGATTGTAATAAACAAACTCGTGGCCATGGAGTGCATGTGAATAACATTTGCTGGTATCACTATCTTTGAAGCATCTATCGCATTTGCCAGCTCTGTTGATGTAGGTTGCTTTATTATCTGAGTGAATTTATCCTTCATTGAAGAGCTTTTAACTTTTGAATATTGAATATTGGGGCAAAGCGGTGAAAAGTTCTCAAAATGACCACCAGCATCTCAAAAGACTTAGTCCCTCTTTTCTGTCACAACTTTTGAAGAACTTGAATGTTTTTCATCATCTGATTAAGTGCAAGGGCAATCTGAGTTCACATCCAGAAGTTTATTTTCCAATTAGGATCGTGAAACATAAAGTTCTTGCAATGTCACAGCAGGCGAACAGTTTTTCTGTCTCACACTGAGCCACTGGGCAATTGCAGCCCTGAGCCATGAAGACAATACAAACCCACACCCTCTATCATGTGATGATTTTGCTTTAAGGATACATGTATGCATTGGTGAGGGGTCATAGGCTCAGTTTTGTCAGCCAGTCAACACTCACTGTCTAGGCTTGCAGACAAAGGACGATCACTTGAACAATGTGCAGGAGGCCTTTTGATGCGCAGAGAACTGGAGACCAGCCTTTGGAGGTTGAAGTTGGGGAGAGTGGGGGGGGAGACAGGCAGAAAATTATTTCTCAAGTAGCAATGTGAAGATCTGATAGCTGTTCTCAGTGAATGGCGAACTTTACTATCTGGAAAGGGGCTGTGAGTAAGAGTGGGATAGCATTGTGAGGTATTAACCAAATTTGGATAAGCTGCCTTCCAGCTCCTGATTTATAATTTACACAGCACATTCTGATTAATAAACATTCCTTGAAATTGTGAAGACATGTTGATGTATTAATAAAAATAAATTATTATTGATCCAGTTTACTTTGCCTTTATTTCTGAGTAATTTTTAAAATTGTTTCTTGAGTTATAGGTGAGGGCAGCATCTGTTGCCCAGTACAATGGTGGCCAATTCTTTGTTAACAGTTTATTGAATAAATGTCATACTATACCATTAAGCTTACAATACTTACGTCTTGAGGACAATGAGGCTTTTTCAACTGTGCTGCTTATACCCTCATGGCAGTGTTCTGGGGTTCAGATATCCAACATAAGACATAGAAGCAGCAATAGGCCATTCAGCCCATCAAGTCTGCTCTATTAGTCAATGAGATCGTGAAGTCAAGGCAAACAATGTTGGTGGTGATGAATTCTGTGTTGGAACCCAACCCTTTGATTTTAACTTAGCGAGTTCAACGGGGTGGGTTTGGATCAGAGCTCTGTTTTGAAGTCAGTAGGGTATAGTTGAGCAGGCAGCAAAATAAGTTCCTGGCCCAAAACCTTTGACTTTCTCCATACTCATCAGAATGGTTTGGGTTAAGATCAGGGCTGACCAGCATCAAGCACATCCAGGTTGCTTGCAGAATGAATCTTACTCTAAGTTGCTAACACACATTGGTTTTAGTTAATGAAGAGCATCACTGCAGAACACAGAAGAGACCATAAGAAGTAGGGACAGGAGTAGGCCATTCGGCCCCTTGAGCCTGCTCCACCATTCAATAGGAACATGGCTGACCAACATTTTTAATATCCACTTTCCTGCATTATTCTCCATAGCCCTTGATTCCCCTGCTAGTCAAGGATCTATCAATCTCAGTCTTAAATGTAGACAAGGACTCTGCATCTCTCTGCACTCC